AATTTGACCATTCTGAAACCAAAAGAGGATCTTCTTCAAATCCAATCACTTCTTCATCCTCAAATATCTCGATATCATCGATCACTTCCAATTCTTTATTCTCATCTAGTCCCTCAAGAGTTGAACCTTTCTTTGATAGAGTTAAGTTCTCCGTGCTTGAATTAATAGAGGTTGTTACTGAGTCCAGGTCCGTGGATGAAAACCCATTTGCTGAGTCAACCAATTTGCAAGAGTCTGTTGAATAGTAATTCAATGTTGTAGCTATCGTTGATTTGCCATCCAAGTTTTCCCCTCCCATCATATTTTCTTTAATCTCTAGGTCTCTCTCAGAGTCTTCTGTTCTGAAAATGTTTAAATCCTCAAAATTCTCTAGTGAATTATAAATCAACTTCTGTGTCATAAACTCTGTTCTAGCTTCTCCAAGAGCCAAATCTTTTAAGGTTGAAATGTAACTGCTCCAATTATATGTACTCGTTACCATTGCATAATCTGTTGGATTCGTAAATATGTGAATCATATAAGCATCTTTCTTAGAGTTTGATAATGATAATTTCTTCAATTCATCCTCAAATCTTGCTTGTCCATCCAATCTATTCTCAATGCTAAAACTAAAAACAGTTAGGAATGATTCTTCCATCTTATTCAACCGAAAATCTTCATATAAAGTCTCAACATTATTTATAAGCTCTGAAATATTGCTAACTTCACTAAATTTCACCATAAAAGCTAAAGAAGACAAATCAAAACTTCGAATCTTCTCATTACTTTCTTTCAAAAATGTATTGCAAAATGCCAATCCCAGGTTATTTCGTGAATTCTCTATATCTCTTCTCCTCTTTAAGGTTGTCATCATCCACTTTTCATTGCTAATTTCGCTCTTATTTCCTCCATTCATATTCAAAATCGAGTTTGAGTGAGAAAAGTAATTCTGTAAAATCTCTCTCTCATTCTTGTCCACAATTACTTCAAACATCTTATTTCTAAAAACACCATCACTATAATTAAAAAATTCAAGCATACATAGATTTCTTGGATCCTTATTATCTTCCAAAACCATCCAATAACTCCCTTTTACCATTCTTGAAAATTCATTCAGTTGAAATATCAGTCCTAGCTTTTCTTTATCGTTTTCACATCTTATTAGAGTCATACTTAGTGGATAAGAGTCCAGAATGCAACATTCCCCTTCTCTATTACTACTTATCTCCTCATTTTCGTGGCATGTTAGAATATCTAGAGCCTCCTCTAGTTCCAGTCGCATTCTGTTTACATTTTTATCCAACTCAAGCTCCTCCCTATCACTCATCTTACACTCCCCTTTTTGTGAGAGTATTTATTATGTGATATGATCTTTATTCTTTGAGGTTTTAGATTCTTGGATTTAACTTATTTTTGTCTTTTTTGTTTTCAATTATCTTCTTTTAATATCCAAGTTAATTTATAAGTTTCATAAATACAAAACTTGTTTATTATAATTTCTTTTCCCCTTCTTATTTGGACTTTCACTTCAAGCTTAATTATCAATTATTTATTTATTTTAAATATTTAACCAACTCGAAAAAATGACAATAATAACTGGAAAACTGCTTTATATTTATATACAAAATGCTAATTATTGGATTCCAAATATTGCCAATAATAATGAGATAACTTTCTTGATATCTTCTTTAGTTAAAGTCTTATTTTTACTCTATATAAATTATTTTGAAAACTCAATACTTAGAACTTACTAATAATCAATTATTAATAAAATAATAAATTATAATTGTAATCAATGAATAAATACGATCCAAGAGCTGACGACTTTTACCAATTTCTTCTGAATTTGTAAATTAAGATTGAGAAAGTGATCCTAACAATTCTATTTTCTCACTTAATTATATTATATTACTATCCTTAATACTGTAGAAAAGTAATACTATGAATTAAAAAGAAACTTTGATCCTTCTTATATCGCTTATGAAATATTTACTTCAATTTATTCCGAAATCCAAATTGTTGGTGTCCTTCCAAAGCAGAAGTGGTTGTGATAGTTCCAGTTGTATATTTAATAACTGTAAATTTTACTGAATAAAGCTTTTGAAAAAAATATATATATTTAAAAAATCCAAATCCACACAAAGCAAAATGCTGATTTCTCTTCAGCTATTTAAAGCACATATATAATGAAAGCCCAGTATAGAATTATATATATAAGTATATATATATATATATATATATATAAATCTTTATATGAAAAACTTGAATTGAATTATAAAATGAATTTGAACTGAATTAGTGAGATTCCAAATCGTACCCAAAGTAACTCAAAAGCAGAAATGAGAAGAAAAAAAAATTAGAGGGAAATTATTCGCTCTAAACCTTTTTTTCTATTATTCTGCTTATATAGTCCTTGGTTATTGCCTAAATTGCACCCTTTTTCTAACAGGTCAGGTTTACTTGTTTTATATCTTTTTCTTCGTGTAAATACAATTCCTAAATCTTATAAAAATTGGAATAAGCTTAGCTTTGTCAATCTTTACTGAAGAAAAAAAATATACTGGTTACTTTTGTCTTATTTTTTCCTTCTAACCTTTTTCCACGCGAATTCGAGAGTAGAAAGATTCTGCTTGCAATCAGAAATGTGCAACTCTTTTCTTCTTTCCTATTAGTATATATATATTTTTTTGGAGCCTATTAACTAATTATTTAAAAAAAATTGTAATCTGTAATTAGATGATTTGAAATATTCGGCTTTTCAGAAATATTATCCAGGTTGAATTTCCCTTGTATCTCTAATCTAGGACTTGTCTTGATATTTTAACTTTTGAAATAAGAAAAAAAGAGGATTAGGAATTCACACCTTAAAGAATATCTGTTATATTTATTATTAATAAATATATAAAATATTTATATTTTAATGCATGTATATACACCAATATATTTTCTATATACACATATACATAAAAAAAATGTATATAGTATATTAACTATATAATAATGGTTCCAGTAAATTGAGTTGAACCAACCTTGAAAAACTTTGGCTGAATTTTCAGAAATAGATTTTGTGACATATGATGTTAATATTTAGAGTTAATGCATTAATCCCAATATATTCTTTGATTTTCTTTTATATATACAATAGAATGGATAAATTAATGTTTATTTATTGTAATATTCTTTTGCTTCTTTGACTTTTAAGCAATTAATAAGAATACTATAACTAAGTTCAATTTCTTTTATTTAATTTCCAACTGAAATTTGTGTGTGAATTTTTCGATATATATTACCTTTATGAACTGTTAACTTATTAGTTAGTTTAAAAAAAAAAATGCTGCACAATACTATAAGAACCTCGAAAACTTTAAACTCGGAAAGTAATTAAATAATTTAATTTTACTCTGACCCTCTTCCTTCAAGCTCGAGCGAAGATTTACTTAAATAATTTGATTTGCACACTTCTTGTTGCTCGAAAATAATTTTATTTTCACAATCAAATAATAAACACAGACTTTTAACACGGATTAATTAAAAAAATGAATGAATTGTCGAAACTACTCAAAATACTAAAATTTAGTATGAAAATACTCCTTCATGTAATTTTTGCTTTTTTTTCTTTTTTTACCTTTTTTTCTCACATATAATTTTTTCCCCCTTATATTAAGCCCTAACCTAATTATTAATTAAATACTACCCGCTCCCACATTCGACCGCCTATATAGTATTCATTTTTTTAGTGCAAGTGTGCATTGTAAATTTTGAGAAAGAAAAATAAATAAATATATATTTCATATATATTTACAAATTACAAAAAATACAAAATATAAAGTTGTTTACAATTAATTAAATTTACGGTAGATTCCCAAATTAATTTTAAATATTTCCCTATTCTCATTCCCTATCCTTTTCCTAAAATTGAATTTTTTTTTAATTGTTTCTCTTTATCAAGTTTAATAACAATATACATACTAGACAATTTTTAAAAAATTAAATGTGCATTTGGGCGGCATGATATGGGCGGTAAATAATCTATTTATTTATTTGATAATAAATTTGATTTGTATACATTTAAGACTATGAAATTTAGAAATTGCGGAGAAAGAATATTATATATTGAAAAAAAATTATAATTGTAAATGTTATAAATTTTAAATTAGATAAATAAGCGAAACTAAATAGGAATAAGGGTAGAGTAAGAATTGATAGAATCAATAAAGTAATTAGTGTGAATGGCTGAAATTTTGCTGACTTTCTTTAAATTCCAAAATTATTATCTGTAACTTGGAAGTTTTGGTTGTTTGTTTATTTTTGAATTTTTGTTTAATCTAATATTTACTATATTTAAGAAGCTTATTTAAATATCAATAGAGCCTTGGCTTAAAGTGCGCCAAACTGCATAATATTCACAATTTTTTCCTGCATATAATAGGGCTAGTATATATAATGTTAAACACTAACTAATATTACTTAGTTGTCCATACTATTTAGCTTTATATTTTGCTATACTAATTATATAAGGCTTTAATTATTAGATTAGATTGTACTATATATTTTCGCAGAAAATTTCAACTCGGCTCAAAAGCATTTTATTGGTATAATTAGCCTATTTATTTGCCAAGCCCTTCCCTAAGTTCACTTCATAAATTTTGTTGGTTTTGCTTAAACTTTAAAGGGCAAAACATTTTTTTTATTAAAAACTATCAAACTAAAGAAACTTTGACTAAATAGATAATCTCATTTGTAGAATTAAAATAATACTCCTTGCCACCTCCGTAATATACAAAAAAATTTGTAAAAAAACAATTAATTGAATTTGTTCTTATTTCGTGTATGAAATTCATTTCAAAAAAATAATACGATAACTTCCGCTCATTTAATTAAATTAATATAGTTTTTCTATTATTAAAAAAAAAATGTTCTTAAAGAAAATTTAGCGGCCTTTATGCCTGCCTTGTATTTTAGAATACTTTTCTTAATCCATTCTTGATATGATAATAACATCTGACTACGTAATCGTCGAGTCCGAGTTAGTATAGTGGTTAGTATATCCGCCTGTCACGCGGATGACCCGGGTTCAATTCCCGGACTTGGAGCTTTTTTTAAAAAATTTGTTTTGCCTAAATTTGGACCGCTCTTTTTTATTGTTAAATGGCAGCTCTATTTTCGGACTTGAACTTTGGTAATAAACATCACCTGACAAATCAACTTAATTAATTTCTAATACTGTGCTCAGGAAAACAACACGCACATAATTTAAACACTTTCGTTTAAAAAGAAGGAAAAAATCGTATCGAACTACACATTACTTAGTAACTATTTTGATTCAAACTAGCCCACCTTCTATCCATAATATTAGTTATCATTGACTAACAATTATAATAGAATTTTCTTGCTAAATTTAGAGTTTATTAGCATTGATTAGACAATTTATCATCTTTTTTTTTAGCTTTCAAATGAGAATAGAACTGAGATCTGAATAATGTAATAAGAAATTGTCTACAAGAAGTGATAACTTGTGTAATTCATATTTCTATTTAAGTTGCAATACGTATCTGTGTTCAGGAAATAAGCTGTTAAGAACAACTCCAAGAACAATATTGATTTAGAAGCACTTTCTGTGTACAATTGATGGACCAGATTCGTCATACTCTTCCTTAGTGATCCACATTTGTTGGAAAGTAGATAAAGAAGATAAGATGGAACCACCAATCCATACAGAGTATTTACGCTCAGGAGGTGCAACAACCTTGATCTTCATTGTTGATGGAGCCAAAGAAGTGAGCTCTTTTGTCATTCTTTCTCCAATACCTGGATACATTGTTGTACCTCCAGATAAAACAATATTGGCATAAAGGTCTTTACGGATATCAAGATCACATTTCATGATAGATTGGAATGTAGTTTCACCAATACCGACAGCTTCTTTACCTAAAAAACCTGGTTGGAATAAAGCCTCAGGACATCTGAATCTTTCACTACCTACAGTAATTACATGGCCATCTGGTAGTTCATATGTCTTCTCTAATTCAGAAGATTCTTGAGATTTCTTCATTTCTTCCTCGTAATCTAAAGCAATGTAGCAGAGCTTTTCCTTAATATCTCTTACGATTTCTCTCTCAGCTGTTGTTGTAAAGCTGTAACCACGGTCGTGGAGAATCTTCATCAAGAAATCAGTTAAATCACGTCCAGCTAGATCTAATCTCATAATAGCATGTGGAATAGCATAACCTTCATAGATTGGAACAGTATGTGATACACCATCACCACTATCTAAAACAATACCAGTTGTACGACCAGAGGCATACAATGATAAGACAGCCTGAATATTAACATACATTGCTGGTACATTGAATGTTTCAAACATTATTTGAGTCATTCTTTCACGATTTACCTTTGGGTTCATTGGTGCTTCAGTCAATAATACTGGGTGTTCCTCAGGAGCAACACGTAATTCATTATAGAAAGTATGATGCCAGATCTTCTCCATATCTTCCCAGTTTGTAACAATACCATGCTCAATTGGGTATTTCAAAGTCAAAATACCTCTCTTTGATTGAGCTTCATCACCAACATAACAGTCCTTTTGGTCCATACCTACCATAACACCTGGCATTTTTGGGCGACCAACGATCGATGGGAAAACACATCTTGGAGCGTCATCACCTGCAACACCTGCCTTGACCATACCAGAACCATTATCAACAACCAATGCTTGTGTTTCTTCTTCACTCATCTTTTGTTACTTGTGTAATATGCCCGAAATCTATGAAAAAAAAAAATCTATATTGTAAGTAAGCTATATATAAAATATAAAAACTGCTCTATTAAACTACTACTTTGCTTGCCGTACAATTCTTATTATCTCTTTATCCAAGTATTTAAAGATATGTATACGCACGCAGGAAAATAAAAATATACTTTGGATTTTTAATGCGCACTGTACGTATCGTAAAAAGATTCATCTCACTTTTTACATGTTGTCTATTCTAAATTTATACTTGATTTTTATTTAATCTCTAAACTTTGTCATGTAATCGTCTATTAATACGTATTGGCGCGCGTCTATGCATGGTGGGCGGCAAGGTGCATGCAATTTGACATAAATGCATTCAATGCAAGATTTATATTTAATATAAAATTTGGTCTTTTTTTTTTACTAAAATCTAACCTTTTTTTATTTACATAACTAAGATTCGTTTAAATTAATACGTTTCACGTCGTAATATTTATCAAGTAATGTATGTAGCATTGTATACATGTGATGTACGAATTTGTATAAACCTGTAAAGTTTTTTTCAATTTAAAGTAGCAAATTAATCTTTATAATAAAAAATAACAAAAAAGTGTTGCTTATTATTGGTATTATTTTAATACTAGATAATAGAATTTCTTTTCTTTTAATCTTTCATTTATGTGTGCGATGCAATACAATGAATTGGCGGAAATATGTGTAGTTTCCTTTTCACTTAATAGTCCTTATATTAATATCAAAAAACTATAAACAAATATTTAAAATGGTATAGCAAATTCATCAAATCTTCTTAGTTCTTTTATACTATAGCTTAGAATTTGTAAGTAAGTCTAATTTTTTATTTATTTTGAACTCATTCTGTATCTAATGTATATACTTATGATGCTAAATGACTTATTTGGTCATTTTTATAGCCCTAACGCTTTCTATTATTACTGTTTATAACCAACTCATTCTGAAGCCCACTATACCTTCCACTTTAAATCTGGTATTAACTATTGATACTATCCAAACCGAACACGCCGAATAAGGTGCACCTCCTCTCATAATCAAACCAATGTAAAAAACCAAGTATATACAGAAATAAATGAATTTTCAAACCCTAGTGCGCGTACATATTCATAGCAAATACCAATTCTCAACCTAATAAAAACAAGTTCTAATTACTCAACACTACTTATGATACAAATATTTATCTGAATATATAAATATAAATGCACTGATACATATATGAATATACCTGATTCTACATCTCTTCTCATTACCTGTCAATTTCTTTCTTCTCCACCCTCTTCTCCCTATTAATACTAGAATAAATAAATTTTGCACTTTCCCGCCAAAACCCTCAGTAACTGTGGGGCGCATGTATACGTCTCTTAGAAATAAAAGGAAGAATAAATAGTAAAATAGTAAAGGAGAGTAAGGTGTGGATATTAAGTGGATTTCTCTACAATTTCAACTTTGTGAAAAAAAAGGACAATCACAGTCCGCGGTTCTACACGAATTAGGAAAATTAAGCACAAATAGTATAAAAATGGCCCCAAAAATGTCTTCAAAGAACAATAAAGGTGCAGCTCCAAAGAAGATCCACAAGAAGAAGAAGGAGAGTTACTCTACATATATCTACAAGGTATTGAAGCAAGTTCATCCAGAAACTGGAATCAGTAAAAAGTCTATGATGATTATGAACAGTTATATCTCTGACACCTTCGAGAAAATCGCTCAGCAAGCTGCTCAGCTTTGCCAAACTACCAAGAAGGATACTATCGCATCCAGAGAAATCCAAACTGCAGTCAGACTTGTTTTACCAGGTGAACTCGCAAAGCATGCAGTTTCTGAGGGTACTAAGGCTGTTACCAAGTTCACTGGAGGACAAAAGTAAGTCAATGAATCTTTTGATTCATTTTATTTCCATTTTCTCCATTCAAGAATCGGGGATCTGGAGAATCTAGCAGATCTCCTTATCTTAAATGGATCTTCTTTCGGAAACTAATGGGGATATCTTTGGTGTACATGAATTGGATTAGGTTTCTTAACAATTACTTAAGAAATTTATCCTATCAGTGCTGTTATACTAGAAAGTGATTCCAAGGGCTTATATTTCAAAATTCTAATTCAAGTAATAATAGGATTTAAGTATCATCAAATATGAATCCAATCAAAGGCTACTTATACCAGGCGTCACTAGACGCCACATTTTCTGTCACTTTATCAACTAAAATAGAATAATTAATGAATATGTATACTATATTTATATTGTTTCTTTTTCACTCTCCTGTCATAAATCTAGCCAGTGAATCTTCTGTTGATGTTGTAACCTAGAGGTGGTAATAGTTTGTTAAAGAAAAATTTAAGGTAGGTGGAATTTTGCTACTGGATGTTACTCCTTTTGAACTTACCATTCTTTCTATTGCTTTTAGCTCTTTCAATATTTGTACAATACTAATCCTTTTTGGATAGGAATTCTCCCAACTAACTTTATTTACTTGTAATTCTATATTTGTATTATTTTGAACATTAAGTGTGGAAGAGGAGGTTGGATGGAAAGATGAAGATGAAGATGAAGATAAAGATTGGGAAGATGAAGATGATGAAGAAGAGGAAGAACAAGATTGTGGAAATTGAATAGAAGATGTCATTAATCGTTTTTTTGAATGTCCAATAATCTCCTTAAAATGAAGAATATGTGATAATTTTGAAAACCCACAACATCTTGAAACAAGACCTTGGATGAGAGATATATTGCTAAACAAAAGTGAGTCTTTAACAGGATTAAGATCTAATGTGGCGCCAGAATAACCAACATAAGCTTGAACTTGGAGATTCCCAAGCCCACCAAAAGGAGGTTGCCCATTAATCATTTCCCAAAGAATTGCTCCTATAGAATAAGAATCGATTGATTGACAGCGTTCAAACTTATTCTCTAGATATAGTCTTGCCGGCTCTAGTAGAGGAGAATTAGTTTTAAGAACTTCTGGAGGTAAATAGTTCAGGATTCTATCATCTGAAAGTCTAGGGGAGCTGGAAACCTGGTTTAAAAATGAAAATTCATTTTCAATAGAAGAACAATTCAGATTTGGAAAATCCAAACTTGAATTAGAGTCAGTGTTAGTTGTAACTTTCTTATTTCCCAGTATATCCAAGTAAATACTATCGTTTGGATAAAAAGAAGCTTCCAGTAAACAATGTCCAAAGTCTGCAAGCTTAACTGATAAATCTTCCTCAATTAATATATTAGTAGGTTTTAAATTTAGATGAAATATACCTCTTTGTTTTAAATACAAACATCCTGTAGCTATTCCTTTAGCAATTTTGATAGCACTTTGAGTATGAATTCCAAAA